CTTTACAAACAAACAAACAAACCTGATCCAGCATCGACTGGCAACAAGGGCGATGTTCACCTGCAATGAATCGCCAGCACACAAATACAGAAGTCAGCTGTTAACAATACCAGATTGGCTGGTGAGCCACCACGTCCTGGTATATGCTTTAGCCAGTTTACTATATCAATAATTAAAGGGTTTAAAGGCCAGGACCTAACATGATATGTATCATAATAAATATGGAAAATATAAATTATGCATAAGTCTTGTCGTCACTGACATTAGATGAATATGATCTGAATTGCTGGACTGTAATGAAACAGGTGCTCACTATATTGCGGCCATTTTCCAGAGCTGGAATTAATCAAACACAATTTGTGATTCATCGATGTCAGCGTATGTGTTCCAGAAGAGGATATTTCCACTTACTCTCATTTAGCCAGAGTCTAACCAAAAAGGTATTGTTAAGACAACATTGCACTATGGCTTGGTGAGACAGGTAATTAGCATTAGCCACTGAAGCCTGAGCCTTTGTTCAAGGGTTAAAGTCTGTATCTACAATGCTACACGATTTAAGATGTATGCAAGTGTGTGCTCTTGCTTGTAATATGGAAGCAAAAGAAACAGCATTTCAGATAAAATAATAGTTATTAACATGTTAACAATTTGTCAACAAACACCAGATTCTTATATAGTCCCACATGATGATCAGTTTAGGGCAGCTAATGATGTGGTCACAGATGGCTGATTACTAATCAGTATATTCCTCTATTCTATGTATATTTAATACCATGACACATATGCATCCTTTACCTCTTTAACCTACACCTGATGTCGCGTCAGCTGTAGAAAGCCTTGAACCTTGAGGTCGGCGTTTCCAGGACTATGTGATGAACGTTCACAGTAGTCTTCCTGATTCCGGCTATGGTGGCCGACACGACATTTCGATCTTTTTAATCCTTATTATTTGTTAAAGTTATCAGTCACCATCCCTTAAAGTACTGCTTTTTTTAATGCGGGTTTAGCCATCATATACTACGGTTACGTTTGTGGTAGGAATATAATGATATGGTCTTACATATGCTTCCAATGGGACAATATTTTCTAGCTGATTATCAAAGGCACTGTCTAGGAGGTTGACGAGGAGTAAAATGATCTGGCTTGACGAAATTCCTGTCATAACTGAAGTGACTGTCGCCAATCAATGTCTTAAGACTAATTGTTGACCGTTTGGCTTCATATTATATTAACCGTAAGAGAAAAGACTATTTAGATTCTATGCCTATTTAGGGATAGTCCTGTGTGGTCTTACCCACAGAGTTCGAGAAGATTCAGGAAGGGCTTTGATTAAGTCATCTCACATTACCAGAAGACCAGTAGTTGTGTGAAGAAAACTTTCCACCCTGGCTACTCAGCCTATGCTTATTTAGGAAGCTTGACTGTTTCTACAAAGTGAATATTACCATTATTGTCTTTAATGCTATAAGCATTACTCTCACATGACAGTGCGTTTGCATGCTACTGTTTTTGTGTATTGTAATTCCGTTGTAGATTTTTTTAATTTATCTATATACTTAGCTCCTAGGCCGCGTCTTCAGCTTCTGTAAACGACCTGTGACAATGAAGGACAAATCACTTCACAATTATAACATACATCTTATACATTTATGATTTCATACATTTCAAAAACTTGCGTGTTCTGTGCGCGCACTTCTACTTATCTTGTCCAATGTTTAATTTTTGGTGCTAACCCACTGATGATTTTTTATGCAAATCCACTGAGATACCATACCCAAGCCTAACGTGGTTAGGCTTGAACTGGAACACGGAGAAGGTTATGCTTCAGGTAGAAGATGTGACTTAAACGACCAGAATTATAAGTGTAGGGCAACCTTCAAGGGTAGGGTATTCCTTCAAAATACATTTTGAAATCTACAGAAGAAAGAACTGAGCATTAAATGAAACAGATTATTACAGACACACTTGTTAGTGCATTATCAACACATCATCATGTCATTTGTTGTATTTGTTTATAAAATATATAGAGGATGTTTTGTTAATGTTGTCAAATAACATGTATATTTCATCTCGTGGTCTGCGCCACTCGTGAACATATCAACTTTGTCAGACCACTCGATGAAATATACATGTTACTTCACAACTTTAACAAAATATTCTATTTATTATATTTTGATCATTGTTTATAAATGATCGAGACATCGAGTATGTCTGCATTTTATTATGCAAACAAACTGCAGTCTTGCCCTTAAACAATGTTGGACCCACACAAAATAGTTCGCTTAATATTTTTATCCTACAGTAATTAATGTCATGTTTCTACTTTTTGTAGTTATATTTTATGAAATACAAACTCATATGACGAGTAAATGTAGAACTTTAATAACAAATATACTTCAGTATTTGTCTGGCGATGCAATCAGTGCGCGCATTAATACATACAAACTTGAAGAGCCGCCATTGTTTGTGATATTCTATTCAGTGAAAAACATGTTATTCTACTCAGTGAAAATACCATTTTATTTTCACAAATATTAACAGTATTTCACCCTTAAGAACATAATAAATACTCATTTCACTCAGCACCAAGCCATGTACATATTTATAGTTTTCTCTGGTTATAATGCCACCTTTCACCCTAGCAGAGAGATTGAAGTACCCGTCTGTTATTCAGAGACAGCTATTGTTTTGCACGAGTGGGATGTAACGATGTGCGTATGCCCAAAAGGTTGCCTGATTGAATGAAGAGCAGCAAAACAAAGTGCAGCACGATCGGAGATGGGTTCTCAACAGATACGATTGGCTTTTAGTATATGTAGGTTGAGTATATGGAGGCAGATGGTGAAGAGGAGATGGCAAACCTGCTGAATTACGTTTTTATGTACTTGTAAGCATCGGAATTTCTGGTTTTATACAAAGTAGTCGTAATTCAAACTTAATAACTGGATTTTCCGGCTCATCAATCACTTTATTGTCTGGTTTATTTACAAGCCGACGTTGCAAGGAAGTTGAACTGCTTTCCGGCATTAGGGTGTAAATACTTACTTTAATAATCAAATTGTGTGAACGCCGGTTGCCACTTTTGCGAACACGTGGGAAATATATGCAATTGTAATATCAATTTTGCCTTTTACACTAACTGAAATATGTTTGTGAGAATAGTCAGGACTGGGTAATCTATTGCACTGACGTTATTATATCTAGTTACGTCATCAGTGACTTCGTCATACTGCTGTTATTGGCTATGTGGACAATGAACCACACAGATCCTAAAAAGCACAACACATGTATGGTTTTATAGAAATAATAAACTACAAACATGCATGGAAAAATGCTTACCAGATAGTAGTTGCCTTTGAATGTAAAAGAAAATCGCTGATAGCAGTCACACAAAACAGCACTTGAACAATGTCAGAAGGTGTGTTTTCTTGACATTGCCCGATTCCTGGTTGAATCCAAAGCGTTCAGCTGAATGAGAGATAGCAGTGAGGAGAGAGTCCTGTGACTGCCGTGCAGAACCTCAGTTGTCAGCTTACAAAACGCTGAAACGAGGTTGTGTCAATGACTGCGATCAGGTGATGAACAAATCACAACTGATAAATAGAGCGTCACAATGGGAGGTCCCAAGTTGTAGCATAGCGTAGGAACGTAGAAGCTCGTATTGCTGGCCCTTGACGAACCTATAACCACCTGCTTCCGTAAGTTGCCTTTTACTACATACATGGGTTGCTGAAAGCCAATTCTAACCCGTATCTACACGGGTTTTACTCAGTAGGATATCATCAGACAAGTAACGAGTTACACCAAGACCAGATTTAACTCGCTATATTCACACAATCAGCCAGTAAATGATCAGTACTTGTGCTAATTGAGAATTAATCTTCAGTAAGCCATCCTTGTCGTAAGCGGCGACTAACGGGATCGGGTGGTTAGCATGTAACCGTAACGTTTTAAAGTGCGTTTAAACGATGCTCATGATGTTGATCACTCGACTGTACAGACTGGAGTCATATAGCTGCAATATTGCTGAGAGCAACGTTTCAACACCGAACCCATTACCGTCACGTGGACATAAGCTTTACACAAGTTTCAAAAGTAGGCACCTTCTCAGTTGACAATACGAATTCCTTTGAAGTAACCCACCCACTGTTTCTGATTATGATATTATATTAATGTACCCTACAATTCTGTAAAGCTGTATCTCACCAGAATTAGCACTGGGCACACGATGCGTATGCATGCATGGAGCCAGGTATCTTCTCCCCCCACAGCATACTGACATCTTCTTCCATACCCTGTTCAGTACAATTGCTAAGGATTTGATCCTGTATAAGTTTGTTTGATGTTTAAGTCCGAACACAATTTTCCAGCTGTATGGGGCGGCTTTCTTTAAATAACCATACGATGTACCTTGAGACATTCGAAATAAAACGCAACATTCTGTATTATGTCTGTTTGTTCTTTAACTCCACAATAATAAATTCTCCAGTTATAGGATGGTGGTCTGTAAATACTTGACTAGAATCAGGACCAGACAACCCAATGACTGACATCAGGATCTATCGACGGAGTTGGGATTCAATGACAATGTGTCAACTGAGTCAGCGAGCCTCACCCCCGTGTTCTACTTGTTAGTATATCGATTCATACGAATGACAAAATATTTTATTTAAATTCTGAAAGAACATAATCTATATTAATGTATATGGGATGTCAAATAGTTAAACTGACGTTATATGCGCAATAGAATGTGCCATCATTCCACGGACGTTCGTTCGAAACCAAAATATGCCAAGATTAAGAACACTGGTTTGTCAGCTCCATACCCATTCTTGGGTAGAAAATCTTACACGTGTAACATTTTGTTTTTTTATTCCAACACAAAGATAACCATTAGTGATAATTAAAGAATTACTGCTAACTATTAAACCTATTTTATCTTGCTTGGGCAATCCAATAAAATCCCACCCAAGAACCTTATCCTAACAACTAGTTACTACCATAACACCAGCCCACGATGACGCACTTCTGAAGGGCATAGAGCGCTAAGGCAGGGAAGTAAGAAAACCAGTCCACCAGTGTCAACACGTATATCCCACCCTAGAAGTAAAGGAAAATGCAACTGTCCAGAGCACATATTCCAGCATCATTGTATTGGGTGACATCACTACCATGTTATAGGAGCGTGACTTTATGTTGGACTCAGATAATATCTACACCAATGAGGTTGTCATAACGGAATACGAATTGGCAACTCAAAAGCAGTATTGACACTGTTCAGAACTCAAGGTGGAATAACAACTGTTATAGACGGTTTCTGTTCTTTAAATTTCATCCATGGTGTTCATACGTATAACAGTTCATCATGCAACATTGCTTTTGATAGATCACTTTAAAAATACTCTTTTTTTCTCAAAACGAATGGACGGGGAGAATTTAAGTTTCTGTTGTATTGATTCAGCGGGCTACAAATCTATCAAATTCGCTTCGTATGTAAGGTCTTTGTGACTATGGCTTGGTTCCTCTGCCAAACTGACTCAGAATGAATGGCATCGTGTTTAAAAGAATCTGGAATCTAGTGCAAAAGCGACGTTCAAGTTAACAAAAAGACTTTTTACATTGCTTAGGAATTACCCCATTTGAATTGGGGTTTAACTGATCATGGGAAAAAAACATCCCTCTGCACGACGTACCTGAGAGACATATAACAGGCCGAAAAGTAGCACTGTGGAAAGAACAACACAGAGGGTAAACTGACGTCGTCTTCTCAGTAGAGGGAACTGGTCTCCCAGTGCTGCTACTATTATATCAATTTCCGGTACCTGCAAATTCAACATGAGTGAGTGAGTTAAATGTGAAAGTCACGGTGGCAATGTACTGACTCTTGTATTGAATCGACCAGAAACATTTTGTACCGAATAACCTGTAAAAAGGAGCCAACAACACCTAGATTACAGCAGATTTGTATAAATAACAATGATTACATTTTATACATAAAAGAAGATATTGTTCATCAGCAACCATATCAAGCGTGATGCAATACAAGCAGCAGGTTTCTATTTGATAACCGGATGGTTATACATTTTGGTTCACGGTGAAATTGTTGTTGAAAAGCTTTATTTTACACTAAGTCTACAAATTAAAAAAATACCGTTTATACAGGACAGAGTTACCAAAATATTTGATAGAATTCAATTTCTTTCAATAAACATAAAAATATAAGAGAACTAACATTTTGAAAAGGATCCTCTGCATTAGATCAACGAAAACAACAGGGTATGCTTGACCGTGATTCACTCTTCGCTGAATATATATATTTTTTTGTAGATAGATTTCTTTTTAAATTGAAAGGTGAGAAGGGATATTCAGAACCCGAACAAATGCACACTTGCTTCCGTTAGGGCTTTAGCATTGCAGAATGGGCAGGGCGGAAGGGAAACATGCGGTTCAGGGACTGTGAGACAGACTATGAGAGGGTCCTCATCGTGTATGAAATATGTGAGTGAACAGCCAACATCGTCGTACAATGACCTCTTCAGACCTGGACTGACAACCTAATTGTTTTTATTTGCTGCAATTTATTTATACCCACTTGAGTTGCATTAGATCACAGCTGTTTGATCTAATTACAAGTATATAATCGGTGTATGGGATCAGAAGTAATGTCACGGACTTGTACTTATTTTATGCAACAGGGACTGCTGAACACCAATGTCGAGAGTAAAGAGAACCTTTACTTATGAATATATACTGGATTAATTTTGCATAAATGTTTACCAAATATAGCATCATTCCTTGTTATTGTCTGCAAAACAGGCCTTTTACATCCTAATACGAAAGGGAACAGTTTTGTCTTGGTGTAGGTAGGTAGATAAGGTTTTAGGGCGACCTTGGGCCTTAAAAGGCCTATGTGCGCCCAACACTTAACAAACTGTTACATTTATGTTCAGTTACATTACGTCGTACTTCCCCGTTTTAACGAGGAAGTCTAAAACAGCTCTTTGTATGCAACCATACATTAAATTATCGCCAAGTATTGCGTTCATTGAAAAAGTATTTTGGGTTTTGTTTAGCACAGTTTATTTAAGAGCCTTAGGTGGGTTTTCATGAGCTGGACATTCTATGAGGTAGTGCTGAACTGTTTCTGGGCAGTGTAAGTTACAGCTTTCACACAGAGGAGATAGGTCTTTATCTAAAATACTTCTATATGTCTTTAATCCACAATGTCCCAGACTTGTCTTGGCAGTTAACTGAGTTGCGTCCCTTGGTCACGTCGGGAACCTACGATTGTGGAGTCGAAACTCCGTTCGCCCAGATCGCAGGTTTCCCCAATGTTAAAAGTCCAATACTTGCAGCTCTTCGGGCTTTCCTCGCACTGACAGACCGTCATACTAGTGAAATACTGCTCAAAGCCCAATACACACATTCCTAAGTCGGAAAAAGTGTAATAACGTCCAGACAGGGAAACATGTTCAGTTATGTTAGAAGTGAGTGAGTAATTTTAGGAATATTCCAGCAATGTCCTGGCGGGAACTCCAGAATTGAGCGTCACACAAATTACCCATATGGGGAGTCGAACACGTGTCTTCGGCGTGACGAGCTATGGCTTTCAATACTAGGCGAGCATACCGCCCTATTTAAAAACTAGTTATTACCAATGTATCTATTGCGAGTGCCATCAACGTAACGAACGTCAACACCAACCATAGCTGTGGCAAGGGAAGCGAGGCCAAGAAATAGGGTACACGATGAATGCAAGGTTGAATCCTGAAATATAAAGCCATCGGACTATTTGCTTTACAATTTTAGCCTTCAAGCGTGACATTTGTAAATTATCACATTACATTAGACGAAATGCAAAAGTTATTTCGCTAGTTTCAACAACAAACTTGCAGGTTTATGTATCTTTGGCCAAAAGGCGGCAGGCAAAACCGTGATTCAGATCTGTGTTGCGTCTAGTTAAAATCCGTGCGTACGAATTCCAATATACATTAATTTATTGCAGACAAATGTTGTGAGTGTAAATTTAGTTACAAATAAACTTCATGCAGTCTGCTATTGCTTTCATTTGAGGACCAAACAATACCAAGTTGAGTGTGGACCAATCGCAATCACGGGATAAGGGTTAAAACATATCTGCTTTTTAGGTAATCTTGGGCTCATTCTGCTGGACCTGATGACTGGAAGTCCTCCATAGACAGTCCACGCAGATGGGCAATATGACCAATCATGGAGAAGCAAGCGAACCCCAATGAATACACCGGTCAGTGCATCAGCAAGGCAAGTCACCATTGCATCCATTCAAGGAGAAAGGAAAAGTTGCACTCGGCAATGTGCAAAATAGACGACGGCGGTCTGTATATAATCGAGTGTGTACAAGGCAATTTATGGGTAGAAAGAGGAAATGAACCTCGAGATATTCCAAACTACAACGTAGCATTCTTAATTATCCATATGGTGAAACATAACCAGTGTGATATATATCATATGTACACATATCACTTTTGCCTAGCAACCACTGTTTCCGTATATGATCGTATGTTACGTCATTACACTATTGAACGTTTCGTCAGTGAAAAGGGCTGTCACACATGCTTACCGTGTTTTACTGCACAAATGTACATAAAGAAATTATTACACTCGCAAGTGTGCCACACGACTTATACGAAACTCGTACAAAAGTGTGTTTTGCCCGAGAGTCTTACCTGAGTAGCCCAGATAGTGTGTTATCAGTTTTACTCAGGTAAGACAGTCACTGGACACTCGTGCACATTTCAATCACGCTACTGAACAAAATGTCCGTCATTCCATGTGCTATTGGCGCTTGGATGACTGCGCCAATACTACTTCTGGAACCAGCGGACGGTCAGTGCTAAAGGTACGTAACTATTGTGTGCAATCCGACAAAAAGATGATGCTCCTTTGGAAAAGATTACATGACGTAGATTACACAGACGTCCTTTAGCCCCAACCAAACGTTTAGGTGTAAAGGACGAGCATTTCCTTCACTTAGTTATTACTACTGAATAGGTCTGTTCATTTTAATACTCGTTGGGTGACACAGGATGTACAGTTTTTATCTTATGGTGGTCACGCAGATTACATCTATACAAAATCTCTACAACATTAAACCTGTGAAGCATCAGGGTGAGAAATCGGCTGAAATTTAGTGGCTATGAGAATGATATTGTATTGTCCCAACATAAAACTGCAGATAAGGAATACTAGCTAATGAATACATATAATATTTATAATAATTATATGGTCATTTTCATGGGGTAATGTAGATTGCACTTTTTGGGAAACATCACATTAAAACATGAATTTAAACAAAATTAAAACAGATGTTTCTGGGTACAGACGAAAGGGACAATACCGTATGTCGAAAATGTAATCTGTTTTGTTCACACTAGATGACTATTTACTATGAAATATTCACTCAAAATGTTATACTATCATTGGAGACATACACATTTTGGTGATTTTGACTAACTTTTTACCCTGAGTCACACACATAAATGTCAGATCATTAACAAGGTCTATGCCTCAGGTACCTGCTAAGCCTGTCACCTAATATAAACATGAAATGAACAAGTGATATCAGTTAAAAAGTGTTGTTTTGTAATGCGGAGACAAATCACAAATGGTGCACATTTCGTGAGAATAGGTGTGTTGCAGATACCCCAGGCGTAGAAATAAATATATACTCAGCAGCAAAAGAAAACGTCAGTGCGTATTTAAAATTAGATAGGCACTATAATCAAATCATTACAGAAATGGACATAATCAGCGGATCAAAAACAATTTTTTGTGTACAATATCTTGACACATCAATGAATAACTCAGCACAATTCCAAGACATTACGTGAACGTTTGCAGTCCATTGAGACTTTTGACTTCAGTATCTAGTGTGACCACCATGAGCGGCAATAACGGCAGCACAGCGTCTATGCAGGGAGTGCACCAATCGATTGATGAAGGCCATTGGCACCTTGAACCACACTCTGAGAAAGGCCTGGCGTAATAATCGGCTGTATTCGGCCTTGGTATGACATTATTCAGTCTCCTCTGAATTTCAACCCAAAGATGTTCAACTGGGTTTAAATCAGGATTAACGGCTGGCCACTGCATAATGTTGACACCGTTCTACCGTAGGACCTCCCCATGAGTCTCTTTCCATAACACATTGGTCTGAGTAACGCTGGCCACGTCGTCGCCATATTCTTGTTCTGCCATCTGCAGCTGATACGCAGTACCGACTCTCATCTGTGAACAGAACAGTTCTCCATTGCCTGCATCGCCAGTTTAGGTGTTGTAGGGCAAACTGTAGACGTTCACGCCGATGACGAGGGGTGAGGATAGGTGGAGGCTCCCGCTGTTAAAACGTCGGCGTACTGTATCAGTACTGATTGGTCTTCCGTGTGTTCCCACTGTCTGTCGGGGTGTTTCGGATGCCTGCATGAAGGGATTCTGTACATGCTGTCGCACAACATGGCGGTCTTGTCGTCTTGTGGTCACCCTTGGTCTGCCAGTACGGGGGCGACCATTTGTGGTGTTGGTGGCCCGGAAACGTTGCTGCAGCCTGTAGATAGTCCGAACGTTGACCTGGAAGTGATTGGCAACGGCTTGTGCAGTGTGGCCAGCTTCAAGTCTTCCTAGCGCCTGGTTCCTCTGAGCTGTCGTGAGTCGCGGCATCCTGCTGATGTTGTAATGTGGATGTTTCAACCAGGTTTGGGGTGTGCATTTTATAGGGCAGGGGCCGGATTCACTAAACTTCTTAGAATTTTCTTAAGCCTTAAGAATTCTTAAGTCTGGTAAGAATTCTTAGTTTCCATAGCAACCTATCTAAAACTAAGATTTTTGCTTAAGCAATATTCATCAAACTTCTTAGTGCTTAAGATTTTTTCTTAACTTAAGAATCATCCATAGGTTACTTAAGCACTAAGAATTTTCTTAAAGTAAACAAAGATGGCCGCCCATGCAATCCTCGATAGAACCAACATTTTAGAAAAATACACAGAAACAGAGTTGACACGAAGATTTAGATTATCAAAACATGGTATACAATTTGTAGTAAGTCTCATTTCCAATGAAATTTCACCTCTCACTCAAAGAAGTCATCCTTTATCAGCTACTGACAAAGTTCTACTGACGCTGCGTTACTTTGCCACGGGCAAAATGCAGCTGTGTAATGCGGACCACATTGGTGTTTCACAGTCTTCAGTGAGTAGGGCCATTAACCAAACAATAACTGCACTGTCTGCCCCTGCCATTGTTCGACAGTTCGTTTCGTTTCCTACCAGTCCGACTGAAATCCGACGAAACCAACTTGGTTTCTATGGCATCGCTAATTTTCCCGGAGTGGTTGGCGTTATAGATGGCACCCACATTCAGATTATGGCACCATCCCAGCACGAACCTGCTTATGTGAACAGAAAGCAGTACCACAGCATCAATACTCAGGTTGTCTTTGACCACAGTTCACACATCATTGATATTGTTGCGAAATGGCCCGGGTCCACTCATGACTCGCGCATACTGACCGAGAGCGGCGTTTGTGCTTTGTTCTCTCGCCACCTGATGCCTGCCCGCTGCCACTTGCTTGGAGACAGTGGATATCCATGTAGAGACTGGCTCCTCACTCCCTATCTTCAGCCAAATCCCGGCTCTCAGACATCATACAACAGGTAAATCGAATCTTGCAAACGACATGACTTTTGGTTAGTCGATTAGAGTTATGCCCCCTGTCAAATATGACTATAAAAGTGTAACTGGGTTGAGTTAAAAAATTGATGTTTTTCTTTCCTGGAACAATCTACAATCCTAGAATACATCAAAAACTTTCTGACAAATACGTAATGAAATGACAGTAAACATAAAAGAATGCTTTAGTGCTGAATAGAGTATTTATCTACATCTATATCATGTTATTTACATGCCAGTTACAAATTGCAAAATATGCTATTGCAGATTTTAAAATAATCTTCATAACGTTTCATTTTGTGACAGAGCTCATAAGAGGACACGCAGCATAGTGGAGAGGGGAATAGTGCACCTCAAGCGGCGCTTTCATGTGTTGCATGGAGAAGTTAGATTAACCCCAGAAAAAACATGCAAGGTAAATGCCAGTATAAAATAATAAATGTGGAATACAGTTATTCATCTTTGTAAAACCAATGTGATTTGTAATCAAACTGTGCTTTATTACTTAACTGTTCACAAGTAGAAAATAATCTTATATAATATTTATGTTTGATGTATATTTTATTATTCTTAAAATGTATTTGAAGCATGTCTTGTATGTGTGTGTGCTTCCATGCATGTGTATGTATGTTAAGTGTTAATATATAGGTTTTTTAAACACTCCATTTATATCTTCTTCACATCATCCATTAAACTGTATTGAATTATTCAAACAAAAGAATGACAACAGATAAAGCATGTTCAGAATGATGGTCTTCCAGTGAAACATATACAAATATATGAGAAGTAATATACAGAAATGAGAAACAAGATATCTTAGCGGTATGTGGCCCCACACAACACTATTGACAAAATAATAACAAGATAACAATTTTGAATTAAAACAACTTTTATTTACATGCAATTACTTTTAACAACAGGTCATCAAATGTTGTGCAGTTTTGCACAACATATGCAAGCTGCGAAGTATCCCCTTGCCTGATGGTGAGTCGATTGACCCAGATGACGACGACCAACCACAGGTTGTACCACAGTTGTCTGGACATAACCTGATTTACAGGGATCACTTTGCCAACACTCACTTCTAAAGTAAGGCAAATTATTAAATATTTTAAATATGTGAAGGAGACAGACAGATATTTCATTCAGTAATGGGCCACTGGCCCAAAATACATTAATAACTGTATATATTATGCATAAAGTTAAATGCGTTTTACAGAAAAGACATCAGATTTATTTATAACATTTATGTTTGTTGAAGACATTACGTTGACAGAACTGTGTCGTGATGGAGGGTGTTTCCAATATTTATCAAGAAATGTATTCCTCATATCTGGGTAGGCTTTACAAAGAAGTAAAACATGCATTTCATCTTCAATTAAATTAAGATTAATGTTTTCGAAAAATCATCAATATCTCCAAAGTCCTGTGAAATCCAAACAAATATGATGAGATGCCCATGTCATGTGTCCAGATTCATCCAAAGACTTTAACATTAAATAAATTTGATGTGGTAACCTACATCTTGGTCTACACCAATATTTACGTGACCTTGACATATAAGTAAGTTGAAGAGGGAATCTCCCACATTCACCCAGAATATTACAGACAGACAGATATTGTTATTCAGTAAAGGGGCGTCAGTTACTGAGCATATTTTAAGCTGCTCCTCTTCTCTACATGGTAGAGGAAATTTCCAACATTATATAGAGTGAGAGTACTTGTGTTTGAATCTTTTAAAATATTAACAACAGACATATGATTATATATCAATAAGGTTTTTGTTTCTAATATCAACATATAGTGCACATTCCAGCAAAATATGATATATGTCCTCAATAATATTGACATTATTCTTTTTACAGTGGCTACACAGCCTTAGATGTCTATCAGCATTAGTGTATCTTCCTGTTTCTATGGCAATTTTAAAATTTGAGCATCTAAATCTGGAATAGCATTTCTTACATGTAAAGGTAAATCACAACATAAGTACTTTTCAACATTCAACAAATATTTGTAGGCTTTGTAGAGATAACATTTAGGTGAAGATTCCACAGAGGAGTATGACTCCTGTAAATTATCACATAACCTCTGTTTGAACATAGATATGAAAGCCTTTGAATCTGCAACATTGTGGCTAAGCCAAGCATAACCCAAACCCAAACCAAATTGAAACAGTACCGTATATGTTTAACCTTACTAGCGCATGTACTTCTCCCACACTCATCGAGTGCCTTAAGCATCATGTGGATACCTACATTAGGCTTGAACCATGTTTAATGAAGTAGATTTGTTGACTTTCAGAAAATATTTGCAAGAACCATATTGTTACAAGTATTTTGGCCAGCTTTTAAGAAATATGTACATTTTGAGAAGCATGAGTAGTCTTCTACTCTTCCATAAATTTCTTTAGTTTGTGTTCCATAATTTTCTTTTTTAGTTCAAGAACCTCAATTTCTAATTTCATCTTCTTATGATACAGTTCATCACATTCAAGGCATGGTTCAAGATTGGATCTCCTTGCTGGGGGAGCACATCTTCCACTACTTGGTGCCGCAGTGACTGTGTGTATGGCCTTGACAGTGGGAACTGCTGCATCACTTGGATTGCTTGGAGTAACCGCCACATCTGCCACACTGGTGACCATTTCCAGGCACCCTCCCACTGCTGTCATTGCCTGGATGTCTAAAAATGACATGGCATCACTGAAATTTAAATAAACTATAATCAGTTTTACTTGTTATCATGTATTCAGGTCTCAGTTTATATGCAGTTATTTATATAATTCATTTTATGTTATGTCAAGGCTAAGGGTCTTTCATATAGGTAAGACTAAGTAGGGATCACTTTTAGAAGGGTTTTGGGTATAATACCCCATGAAAATTATAAATATCAAACATTAAAGGCAGTCAAGGGATAAATGTTGGAAAGAGAGCTTTATTAATCTTCTTGATATGTAATTTTTACATTTTGGATTTCGTCAATAGTTTATTTTGAAAATAAAATTTGTTATCAATATTTGGAATGTGAAACAACCAATTTTATTGAAGGAATTATCTAATGACATACAGTAAAGCTGAATGTTTTGACAAACCTTGACTGAGTAGACTCATTTATCTGCAGTAGAGTTAAGTCCATTGAATCTGGTATTCCTGATATGGACACATTGTCCTTCCCAAGTATGTCCCACACGACTTCTGCTGTTTCAGTTAAAAGTGGACAAGGTGACGGCCCACCACCTGCAATGTATAGATAATTTCATAATTACCCATGGTTTGAAACATAATCAGACGTAAGCGAAATTCATATTTTTTCATGAGGGTCTATTCAACTTATTTTGTCTGGGGGGATTATTTGGGGTGAATATATTTTGTTCAATTCAAGACCCTGTAAACAGCATAATTTGCACACTGAACAATGTCATTTATCACTTGCACTTCTTCTGGTAAGCTCTAAATAATGTCACATACTAGTAAGTAATAATATGATCTGACATTGCCTATATAATCTATACTCATACACCATTCTCTCATTATTATTATTACCATTGTGGCACACACCAGTTCTGAATAGTTTGTTGTGAATAGTATATACTGTAAATAATATATTATGATACATATGTATCACTGATTGCCATCTGTATCATTGGTGCCACAAAGTGATAATTAATTATTGTATTGAGAACATGTAATGTACTTTATAACAATGATCCATGTTCATTGTATACCTCATGTATAGTACCCATAAATAGAGTTATCTCCCTTGATGAATTCTTTATGTAATCAAGACAATGATTTTATGCCTCATTAACAAAGATATTTATATGCGAATGTGAATGTGTAATTGTAAGTTACTCGTATGTGAAAGATGCATCATGTTTTTATGATATTACCGTATGTTATTGTTTTGTGTATTGCAGGGTGTCGTAACCTCTCTAACTGCAAATAAAACCTCACACCCGTAGCCTGTGTTTGAACGTCATTCTTACCCATCACAACCCGGTTACACCATGACCATTTATTACTCAATTTATATTCCTTCAAAGTAATCACTTTTCTTCACGCACACACTGTCCAAAATCAATAAGTATGGACCATAAATCTATATTTGAGCTCTTACCTGTAGATACAGCCCCTTTCTTATATGCTGCAATTTCAGACTTGGACTTCGACTGGGTATTATGCCACTTTTTCTCCACTTCGTCATTTGTCCTGACACATCCTGGGAGAAAATGAAAAAACATTTCATGAAACAATTGAGGACACGAATATGAAATGAAATATTTTCATTTACATTAAATTCACATTTTTAAATTCATGATGTAATGGTATTGACAACCCCATTATGGTATTAACAAAGGTTCAGTCTGAAGGTATGATAAGGGACCACTTGGCCCACTAATATTAGTCACATTTCACAATATTAGTGCTATTTTCAACATACTATTGTTAATATAAACATGAAAACATATAAACGTTGACTCTGTGTATGCCTCTGGTTGGAATTGAACCAACTCCACAAAATGGACTGCCATTCAAAAGCTTTGAGGGAGTCAAAATAATGAACAATAAATCATAGGGGTCAGTGTTTGATTAAATAAAATAATGGTACACATGAGAAATATTCTGCAAACACAACAAAACGAATGGGTCATTTCTTCAGGAAAAGTACTGCAGTACAATAAAAGGATAATGTGTGAGTCTTTCACACTGGGTAAAATAAAATGAAAATGTGTGAGTCTTTCACACTGGGTAAAATAAAATGAAAATGTGTGAGTCTTTCACACTTGGGTAAAATAAAATGATACATGTGTGATTACTTCACACTTGGGTTAAATAGAATGTTTCATGTGTGATTCCTTCACATGAAAACATGCGATAGAAATATCTTACCTGCCTGGATAAATACCTGAATATCAACCTATATTTCTAAGATAAATTTACAGAATTATCAACATGTCAAACCAACCCTAATTCACTGTTATCATTTTCATTCACAAAAAAATCTACATTTGACTAGATACAACAGAACTGGCCCAAATACATTACTTTAATGTTATTTCAATGAACATACTAAGCATGTCGGTTGTAGTATACTTGTAAGCTGTTACAACAGAAGATGTGTAACATTTGATTTCAGTATTTGTTACTTCAAATGATTATAATCAGTTGATATGCACAAACAATATGATGTTTGAATGCATAAATCCAATATCACTCGTCAAAGTTTTGATGGTAAGAGTTCCGCCCGTAACCCCCGCTTGAAATGTATTCTATTTATTAGGATTATTTCAAGGGTTTGGTGTAATGTTTGGGGTTGGATTTTAGGGTTTTAGGTTAGGTATAGCCTGTTTATAAAAAACATAGGCGGATATTCTCAGGCATATAATGATTAGAAATAAATACGGGGGTTACGGGCGGAAATCCTTCCGTTTTGAGATGGGTGATCGAAAATAGCACATATGAACCATCTCGCTTTTAAACTTGCACTTACTTCAACGTTTAAATTCTTAAAAATCAATAAAAATTACATTAATTATTGTAGGAGGCAAATACTTTACAGTTACATATACAAGGTGAGAACATTTTAAAGTGCACTCAAAATTTACGATCGTCACTTACCTGTGAAGGTGGCATTGATCTGCATAGTAATATGTGTCCAAATTTCCTTCTTTCGCGCAGATGTCACACCCGGTCCAAACTTGCCGAGTAACACTGCCTTATTTTCCTCAACAAGGCGAGTTAAGTACAACGTCTGTTCGGCCGTCCAGTTGGGTTTTCTGACACTTTTCTTCTCCATTCTGATTGTTGTCGTCTGCGTAAGTTGTTTTCTATCTCCACGCGAGGAGAGTTCAACTATGCTATTAATAGATACGGGGATTTCCAATACGTCATCTAAGAATATTCTTAGCATAAATTTGTATCCCATAATCCCATGCGTTTCTCACTAAGAAAATTCTAAGAATTTTAAAATATCTCAGCTAAGATTTATGCTTAGTGGCTTGGTGGATTGCTACTTAAGATAAATTCTCAGCTAAGAATTCTTAAGGAAACTTAAGCATAAATCTAAGAAAATTCTAAGAAGTTTAGTGAATCCGGCCCCTGGTCCTTATGAACAGCACGTGCTGCATGAAAAACATGGAGAACACCGTACCATCTCCGAGATCAGGTTGCGTTTTTGAGACCATTTCCTGGGTTCCATTCTGAGTTTGGGAAGGAATGTCTTTGCTCAGGTAAAGTTGGAGATGTTGTCAAAAATATACAATCAAAACATTAAATGAGTTTACAGTTACCGTTTCTGAGAAGAAAAATTCCAAACTGGCGTTTCTTTTGTTGCTTAGCATAGAAATCATCTGTAGGAAATAATGATCGTCCCCAGTGAGATTTGAAGAAAACGTACGTGGCACAAAAACGTTTCAAGTTGGAACTAATGCTTTCTTCTTCAGAGAAAACCAATACATCCCCAGCAGACAAAACCACTAAAAACGTTATCTATTACAACACTCCAAGTTTCACATGGATTTCAACAACTGTGAACTCTTTAACGTGGCCTTAGTAATCTTTGTGGTCTCTTAGGGAAACCTTTAGCTAATATTTGATTCGGGCTAACGCAGTGTGTGGCAATATTCCAACTATATCCAACTACAAAAACTTGAAAATGATTAATAGTTCAATATCGACGATGCCCCATCAATGTTGACATTGCAAAGGGTGTAAATAAGCATGTAAATGACTTTGTGTATTGTTCTCCTTGAGAGTGAGGGGTTGAGTGAGTTAAGATTTGTCACATCGTAAGCATCTCGGCGATATTGTGACTACAGCAATTAAGATGTCAGTAATACAATGTTTATGCTTATATGCATCTGTCCAAAAAGAACGGTAAAATAACTACACTGAACCAGATCTATATGCAACACTCACTTTTAACTATTATAATATAGCACTGTACATGCAAAAACAATATATGAGAGAAACAGTATACATAACAATACAAGATGAAAAGATATTGCAAGCAGCCACGGTAAGACTACCATGCCGCGGGTACTTTATGGGTCACATAAGCTTTTCCCAGCGATATAGCATTTCTATGAGCAGTAACCTTGAAAGAGCCCAGGGATGTTGAGAGTTTCAATAGTTGTTTGTGAGACTAGTTCCTGCAGTACATAAGCATGCACTTTGTTATTAAACATTGTGTATTACCAGATGATGGTATTAAACGCTGTTATATTTATCATCAGAATAATGACTCATGTACAGACACTTTTATGTGTAGATATATAGTAAGTATTTATTTTTATGAGTATTTAACTGTCATGTTTGTGCCGAGAAGTGCAGCCTGGAACAGACAGGTTCCGAGCAAACTTGCTGAATTACGTTTTTATGTACAAGTAAGGAACGGAATCTCTTCTACAAAGTAGTCGTAATTCAAAATTAACAACTCGATATTCTGGTTCATCGTCCTTTTGACTGTCTGTGTTGTGTACAAGCATTTACATTCGGGTATAGATATTTACTTTGTGTGTGAACGGCGGTTGCTATTTTGCGAAAACGTGGCAAATACGTGTAAACAGCTGTCACGCCTTTCACACCAAATGGAATCTGTGTCTTATATTAGTCAGGTATTCTTTTGTACTGACGTTATTATATCTCATAATGACATGTGTGATTTGTGATACTGCCGTTGTAAAATATATACAAATACAAGGGAAATGCTTACCAAATAATACTTGCCTT